CCCGGCGGCGCGGGGGGCTCCCCGCCCGGCTCCCCGCTGCGCACCCCAGCGCAGGAAAGCATCTTCTTCTCAGAGCGGCTTAGAGTCCCCCTGCCTTTCTGTGGCCATGTTGCTGAGCAGCTCTGCCAGTCGTCGTGGTTCTCGAATTATTTGTTGTTGTAGGGCAGTGCTTGCTTAGCTTTTTTTGCTCTCTCTTACCTGCTTGGCAGCTTGCCTCTGAACTTCTCTTTCTGTTTGTTCTAGGACAGTGGAACCACTGGAATACTATAGAAGATTTTTGGTGAGTAAAACACAATATGCGTGTATAAATTGCATGTAATCATTTTTTTCTTGCTTACTTCTGCTTTTCTAATTGATCTGCATGGAAGCCTGAGACTATATAATGGGAAAAAAAAACCCCAACCTCATTGAGCGGGGGAAAAATGGTTATAGAATCATAGAATGTTTAGGGTTGGAAGGGACCACTAGGGGTCATCTAGTCCAACCCCCCTGCAGTGAGCAGGGACACTGCTAACTAGATCAGGTTGCTCAGAGCCCCATCCAACCTGGCCTTGAATGTTTCCAGGGATGGGGCCTCCACTACCTCTCTGGGCAACCTGTGCCAGTGTTTTACCACCCTCATTGTAAAAAAATTTCTTCCTTACCTCTAGCCTGAACCTACCCTGTTCGAGTTTAAAACCATTTCCCCTTGTCCTGTCACAGCTGGCCCTACTAAAAAGACGTTCCCCATCTTTCCTATAGGCCCCCTTTAGGTACTGAAAGGCCGCAATCAGGTCTCCCCGTAGCCTTCTTTTCTCCAGACTGAACAAGCCCAACTCTCTCAGCCTGTCCTCATAGGAGAGGTGCTCCAGCCCTCGGATCATTTGTTGTACTCTTCAGAACTTGTTTGTCCATCTGTCTGTGGCAGTGATGCTGCAACAGGTTCTGTCCCTGTTCAACCCGATGGGTAAATGCTTCTGTCGGGCTCGAAAGGAATGCGAGTTAAATTTGACCAGGGTGGTGCTGCAGGTTTGTGTGTAGTACGAAATAATGTCAGACCAGGCTTTTAGATGCTACTAAAAATAAGTAACAGAGAATATCACTGCTAACCATGCTCACCGTAACTGTGAGGGAAAACCACTGAATTTTTGGTATATTAAATTGGGCTATTCATTGCTAAGGTAGTATCGACTCAGAAATGGGTCCAGTATTACTGAGGTCAGTTTTGGTTCTTGTTATTGAACCAAAAGTCTTTGCTTTTGAGAAGCTTGAAATTGTGATGAATCTCAGTTCAGATCTAACGTGATGCTGGATTGGTGCAATTTCTGACCTAAGGTTCAGATACTGTACAGCTTCTGACTGACAGTATTTCAATGTTGGGGTTTTTTTGGGGGGGGAATGTTTTCTGTGTGTGTGTGGTTTTTTGGTTTTTGTTTTTTTTTTTCTTTAGTTCACTCTAACATTAATTTTAAGACCTCCACTAGGTGGGGATGGGGGAGAGGAATTGCCTACAAAATCTAAAAATTGCAGACAGGTAGAAACTCTCATTTTAAGGTATCGGTGTTTTCATTCTTGGATGCTATTCTGAATCTAGCTCATAGTACTTACTCTTGTGACAATCAAGCTATTGTTATATTTATTTTCTAAATAAATTGTAATAAATTAAAAAAATACTTTTTTTGCGGGCCTGCAACAACAAACTACATATCAGTTGATGAAAAGCTGGCTAGAATGTGATTGAGTTTTCCCTAGTGTTTCTGTAACTGCATGTTTCTGCTAAAAAGAAGAGACTATTGTTTTATGTGAACCCATATAGCATCAATATCCGTGTGTTATTAAATAAAGTATGTTTTCTAACTTCAACGTTGTTATTTTTGCTCAGAAAGAGAACTGTCGACCTGATGGAAGGGAGTTAGGTGAATTCCGGGCAACCACTGTCAACATAGGCAAGTGCTTATTTGGAATAATAATAAGGGGGGGGTATTGTTAATCTCGGATTATAATAGTGACCCTGACGACTTACTAGTCCATTTTCTTGGTGCTTGCGTTTTCAACCAAGAGAGTGGAAGGATTTTTATTTATAGTTTCAACAAGCATTTAAAAAGAATCATAGAATCGTTTGGTTGGAAAAGACCTTTAAGCTCATCAAGCCCAGCAGTACCTGTCCACCACTAAACCATGTCCCTAAGCACCACATCTAGCTGTCTTTTAAATGCCTCCAGGGATGGGGACTCAATCACTTCCCCGGGCAGCCCGTTCCAGTGCCTGACAACCCTTTCAGTGAAGAAATTTTTCCTAATATCCGGACGCAACTTGAGGCCGTTTCCTCTCACACTGTTGCTTGTTGTTTGGGAGAAGAGACCAACAGACAGAGCCAGGCTGTTTTCATTGGTGCCCAGGGACAGGACACGAGACAGTGGGCACAAACTGAAACACGGGAGGTCACCTGTGAACATGAGGAGACGCTTTTTTACTGTGAGGGTGACCCGAGCACTGGCACAGGTTGCCCAGAGACGTTGTGGAGTCTCCATTCTTGGAGATACTCAGAAGCTGTCTGTATACAGTCCTGGGCAACCTGCTCTAGCTGGCCCTGCCTGAGCAGGGGGCTTGGACCAGGTGACCTACCTCCAGCCGTCCCTTCCAGCCGTTCTGTGTGGTTGACTGTTTAATAGATTCTGGTCCCACCCTAGATTCGTGGAGACTTTGCTTAGCCTGTGTTTAGTGTAAAATGATGGAAAGTAAGCACTTTGTGAAGGTGGATGTTAATTAAGGCCCTTTGAATAGACAAATAGGTTTTATTGAACAGCACTTTCTCTCTTCAGGTTCAATTACAACTGCAGATGGTTCTGCCCTGGTGAAGTTAGGAAATACTACGGTGATTTGTGGAGTTAAAGCGGTATGGTTGGCTTTTATTTTCGCTTAGCTGAACTTGTGAATTCATGTTTAGAATGAATCTCCTGCAGTTACAATAATGTGCCAGTCAGGCACAATTACAGTCTTTCACCCGAGTTACTTTCAGACGTGAAAGTTAATATATAATTTGTCTAATCCTACCTGTGTAGTCCGAGAATGTGTATTTCTGTGGTGTGTATTATATACAAAAATAAATTCTCTGTCATTTCTAGATAAAAGCTATGTAATTGAAGAGTTACTAAATATTGATCAATAAGTGCACTGGTAATTAGTTGGCTGGACTATAAAGTGCCTTGGAGCCTCAGCTTTACTGCTGGCCTGCCGTGAACTGTGAGACAAATCACTCCACGTCCCTGTGTTGAGTTTTTCCATAGGAAAAAATACAGGCAGGGACTGATTAAATACAGTTCTTGCAAACCTCATTGTAATGATAACTGGGAAGAAAATGACCTGACCTATTCTATTCATATATAGAACAGCTGGAAAGTCTATGATAACTGGGAAGAAAATGACCTGACCTATTCATATATGGAACAGCTGGAAAGTCCTTTTGTACAAAATTCAGCTCTTTGGTTTTGTCTTTTTTTCTCCAGGAACTTGCTGCACCTGCAGTAGATTCTGCTAATAAGGGATATATTGGTAAGCTTTTCAGTACGGACCTTAC